TTTTATAAAGAAATATTTATACCAAAAAGCAATAAACAAGCACCAGACAGACGCCCAGGCGGTTTGTCAGATATACAGACGAGTTCAAACTGAGTCATTTATTTACTGACAAGAATGCGGAAATCTTATGGTTTTAAATACCACATGTGTAAGGAGCAGTTGATACATATGCATCCACGAAAATTTTTAAGAATAACAATTATTTATGGATTAATTGCTTTGCCTGACTGCTAGTGACTTATGTGCATCTACAGAGAGCTTATAATCTTTACCAACTATTCAGATTGCATATAGACCGAGGGACAGTTGCCGAAACTTCTATATTCAATCTTGAGATTACTAAATAAACACTTCTAAAATCAGTTTCATTTTCTGAATCAGTCCAAGTTTTTTTTTGTCTGTCTGTCCGTCTAGCTATCGCATTTTCAACTTATAGATCGCATTTTTTGAGATATTTTGATGAAATTTGCTACACCAAAGTGTGTTGACCCAAGGACGAACACTCTTGACATTGGTTTGGATCGGATGATTTTCTCGACCTGTTCCCACATAACGTCTCATTTTGAAAAGTGATTGAAAACAAATTGATATTTGATTTCTTTCTTTTTTCGTTTTATGGGAAGCGAACCAGCGACTGTAGGGCACCTAATAATTGATCAAATCAAACTCCGTCCGTTTTCTTCTTGAAAGTGTTGTGTTTGTTTATTAAGAACTTGTGAGGAGCTCTACATAAGAACGTTGAGCATTACTTTAAGTACAAAGCACTTAATCCCCTTCTTTACAGGATAGATACGTTTCCAAAAAAAGATATTGGTTATATGGAAAAATAGCAAAATCGTTCCAGACCTAAGAAAGCTCCCGAAAAGTGCAATAAACAATATTAAGAAATTCTTGTTAGGGTTTACTTAAGAATTTATTTCCTCGTCGCACATTTTAATTCATTAAACGTAATTTAAAAAATAAATTATAGCTTGAAAAACCAAACTAAATTGCGTAAAAATACATTACGTCTTCACTCCATTCATAACTCAGAGAATTTCACGCATATACGCATACAATCGGCATAATCTAACTGAACTGTAAACAAAGCAACAATCATAAAAAATCGTGTAAAGAGAGAATTAGGCGCTATTTATTTTTTTTTTTTTAGATGTGGATTGAGCGAAGGGTAATCCAATGAGACTGCGAAAGGATGTCACTTATACGCGTGGATTCGCAGAAATTATATTTAATAGGTAACATAAGCATATCAGGCAAGAAAAGCTTAGCTTAACTTTCTATTACGCTCTCTCGCAATTGAGAAATCATGTTTTAGAAGAAGAAAAAGAAACCATTGCAGATTCTTTCGCTTTCGCTATGTTCTTTCGGCTATGTTAGCGTTCTTTCTTTTTTTTTGTTTTCCTTTTACTTCCTGCTAAATTACCTATTTTGTTAGAATATATTTGTAAAAATTTTTTAAATTCTTCCGAGATTGTCGAGCGCGTAGCATAACGGAAGAAAGAATACGAACACTGTTCGTTTCTTCGTAGACAATAAAGCGATCAAGTTAGACTAAGAACTGGCGGGAACGACGGATGAACAAATACGCAATGTGCTGTAGCTAGGAAAAGACAATAAGCAAGAAAAATTAAAAAGTATACATTCAAGTGATCAAACCCCTCATCTATCCAATTGCGGAGAAAGAAGACTTTGGCTAATGATTCACATGAAAAATATAAATCTTACACGCAGCCCATGTTCTATACTTAGCCTGCCTGCAACAAGAGAAGAATGGGATCCTCCGTTTCGTATTTGGGCGACTTTTTTCATTCATTGCAAAGATTCGTTCTTTTGCAGAATCTGTAAATAAAAGACGAGGACTATAGCATCTTTGATGCGCTGTAATGGATGTGAATTGTATACCCTTAGTAAAGGCTAGATATGTTTCGATAGAAACTAAATGCAGTGATCAAATAGTGATAGCTTATGTATGTATTTTAAAATTCAAGGCAAGTGCGCTTTACTAAACCAGACTAATTGTTATACAAACAATATGTGCACTTATAGGATATATCATTTTAATATTTTTTATTTTTACTTTTCTTGTCATCTTATTCATCGATATTTATGTTGATTTCTTAATTTTTACCTCCCAAACCCCACATATGTTGTCCACGCCTACATTGACCTTGGTTTACTCATTTGTAACTCTCAAGTGATATAAGCAAGCGTAAAAAGGAATCAAAGCAATTGCACCGTGTCTTGTAGCAGTGATGCAGTACACCGTAACAAGTATGACATATAGCTTGCATTGCCCCAGTTCAGTAACCTCATGTGAATTTAAAAAGTGACCGCATGACTAGATTTTCTGTTCACAAATATTAATGATGATTAGGAAACCGATTATTCTTTGTGCAAAGATTGTGTAAATTTCGTAAACTAATAATAGTTAGTAATTGGCTATACTTTCAAGCAATCCTGTTTTCTACTTTTCTACAAACTTGTTCTTAAATTGTTTTTTTTCAGCAATTAGCTAGAATCGCCGATAAGCACGCTTTCAGCTACCGAATATCTTTTAATGAAATAGTTTTCGTTTGTTGCATAGTATAGACGTTACGTAGCTCACTCTTGTTTTAACCATATATTGTACACTGTACTCGAGCTTCAATGCACATGTCATGTCTTAAGCCTGCTATAATGCGTATTAAGTCTACAAATGCTTTGTAACAGATATTTACCTATCACACGATCAAATAGATTAGAATAGTTTTAATACTGATCTAGAAAATATGCGTAGGGAGTTGTGTTTTCGTGAATGTTACGCTTAGAAAGAATCGCGCCTTATTGATTTAGCATATAATTTGTGCAATCTATGCAATTCCATGACATAAGTCAAAGATATCCCAATTCTTCCTCTTGTTCATTTTAGTAGAGGGAGGTTTAAATGCTATGCTGGTTATGGGAATTCCAAAAGAAGTGAAAGAATAATTACTTTTACTAGTATTAATATGTGCATAATTTACAGCTGTTTTTAAACGATATAAACAGGCGTTCTTCAAAACTGTTTATTATAGCAAACGAAACATAAAAATTGAACAGTAACACTTTTAAATGATTAAACTAGAGCCTGGTCACCATCTACCTTTTGAGCTTTTTGAGACGACGAACGATGGTTGAATGGGCCACATTGAAGTTGTTGGCCATCATTCGAGGTGTCAAGCTTTCCTCTCCTTCCACGGCCACCAAAGGTGAGTGGTCGTCAAAATCCAATGGTCGACCTCTTCTTGGCTTATCTTCCAAGCTAGTGTTGCCAGGTTTGAAACAGCTAAACCGGTCTCTGCATGGACTTTCGACTGGACTGGATTGTGCCCTCACCGAAAAGTTCGTTGAGATCGCGAAATGACTGCGCAGCTTTCCATCCTGTCCCAAAATGATACCGTATAATATGACGAATAAGAGAATGACTATTGACACGTTTTTTGTAACCTAAAAGTAGTTTTCATTTCTAAATTTATGAAACATTGTACATTTTTAACAAAATGTAGCACGTCAAAGAAACGCCTGATAATTATTCATCAACCTATTTGTTTTGTAAGTGTTATGCTTTCCTATCAAAAGTAAGTAATATATTTTCGTTGAAATGTCATCAAATTGAGAGATGTATGGCATCATTACATCACCTCGTGCTTCGATAACTATTATTTCATTACTTTCTATTGATACATATGTACATACTTATAAGTATTTAATATTTATCTTTATTTTTAACGAACAAAAATATAAGTAAACGAAACTGAAGATGGTAACAGTAATACGAACGTAGGAAATTTTCAATTTCAGTTTCTGTTCTCAAACAAGAAACTTGCTAATACTTCGGCAAACGTTAAGTTTAGTTTTTTAAAGGTATTAACGAATGTTATTTTTAAGCAGGCATTTTCTTTAATAAAAATTGTATTCTTTACATATCTCCCTGATGTATGTTTCCTGTGATTTGTAAAGTTTCAACACGAAACTTGTATTATTAATTGCAATTGCCACAGTATATATCAAAAATGTCACTTTTATAATATTTATGAAGGAAGCTGCAAAAGTAGACACTTTATGCCAATAGTCATAAAGGCGAATGTAGGCAAAATGTTAATATTACACCCGCCCAACGTCAACCTAACATGTCAGCTAAAATGTCAGGCAATGTAACATTTTGTGATTATCAATGACAGATAGTAAATGTCAAGCGTTCATGTGCACACATGTTTGTATATGCTGCACACTTGCAACCATATAAATAAATATATTATATGAAAAGTGTTAAAACGTGCACATGTTGCCAACAGCAACACCATCTTAGTGTTACTTGACGTTGAGAATTTCTCGGAGATAATTTTTCAACGCAACGCTGCTTGTAGCTGGCATCTCCTCTCCCCATCATCATTATCTCTCCTTTGTTATCATTGTTTTCGTTATGCATATACATTAATGATTTTCTTAACATAGTCGAGTTAAAAATATTCTTGTGTCTACGACAAGTTGTTAAATTGTTTTTCACACTTTCTTATGGCGCTCAGTAAACAGCGCGTACAAATATGTGTGTTCCCCTTGTGATATTTCAAAGGCGTTGCCAATGTCGTTCAAGAAATTGCTTCCAAACTAACGAAAGCAAAAACGAATGCTAAAGATGTGCACTACATCACTCATTTACTGTGTACACACCCGCGAAACAAAAAATAAAAACAAGAAAATGAGATAAGGGGGAAAGAAATATTAAAACAGCCACATTAATCATTACTGGGACGGCGTGTATTCTGTGATATGATTAGACACCAAAAACTAAATGGTTGAACTAAAACGATACAACTGAGAGACCACAGGGAAAGAGATTCACTAGATATTGCGGCATTTTTTGCGATCAAAAACCGCAACCCCTATGATTTTTTTGTGGATAGTGTGCTAGGAAGAAAAAAAAACAAGTGTTTTAATTTAATGTGAAAAGAGCAATCATTGGAAAATATTTGTGCTGCGTCAGATGAAACATAAATTTGAAAACTTTAAACTTGATTAACTTTCTAACTAAGCATATATAAAAAAATGCATCTAAAAATGAGCATTTTTCTAAGGAAATTTCTTGAATAGTCCAACATTCGGGCACTTTTCTATCTGATCACTTGTGAATGCCTTGGTATATAAATAATTTTATAAAGTTGTGCAAGAAAACGTTTGATATTCCGAAGGAAACCAGCAGAACATATTGAAAATCATCAAAATATACTTAAGATCCGGTAAAAAGGGTTTTGCATCGTGAGAGAAGAAACTCGTATTCCGGCACATTTGTAAAGAAAACAGAATTGCACCTTCTCGAGGTAAGTTTCTTCAACTTATTCGTTCCTTTAATAGAATTAATGGACCTAATAGGCTTGTTGTGAGTATGAAGTGAATAAATACACAAGTGTATTTACTGAGTTGTCTAGGAGAGTATGGCGTCACAACGCTTACTATAGACAGCATTATGGCTCATGTGAGCTACATGAAAGGGAATGGATGCTACACCGGTAGGCCAAAACGATAAAAGTTCCGACATTTATAACCCATTGTGGATCGTAAAGGATTCCGTAATTAAATGCTAGGTTCTTCAATAAAAAAGCGTGAGGCAGTAGAAGATACGTTAGAGCTTGACATTAGAATCCCTTTACCAAAATATGAAACTATTAATGAAAGAGAACAATTCTCTTTATTTTTAAATGAACGATTTTTTTTCTATACATAATTTTAATTTAATTTCAATGACGCCGTAACGCGTTTTCTCTTGTTCCCACTCCAGGCGTTTCTGATACTCTATTCCCTCTTCATTGGCAGCATTCTATCAAAGACAACGCTGTCAATCATTTAAAAAGGTTTGATCTTGGGAATGAAACATTGCGGTAAATTCTGCATTCAATTGGTTAACACATTTTCTTTAAAAAAAAAAGTAAAAAACATTGAATCGTCGCAATCACTTTCGTCTGCGCATACTTCGATTGGAGCCGAGACGAAAACGGCAGAATAAAAAGATTTAGTGCGAGCTTTTATTAGAAAGTTCATATCTATAATGCCTTTGTCAAAAAAACCCCAAAAAAATGCCGATAGTAAAGCAGACGGCCGACAAAATCCCGTTACTGTTTCTACAAGCGAAAATCTCCCGGAAGAGCAAACGCAGGAAAACGTAAGCCCGTCATCTATAGTGGCAACTGGAGCCGGCGTCGAATTGGGTATACCAACTATTGATCTTTCGGAGACCCCACCACGTGCTTTGGGATTTGGTCGTCAAAATGGCAACGATGAAATTTTTCAAATTATTGATTTAAGCCAGACACCACCTGATGACGATGTAATTTTAGTATCCGAAATTAATGACATAGTTGATATACGTACCCCAGTTAGATTACAGCGTAGAAGCAATTCAATCTCAACTGTATCAGGGCAAGAACAAATTAACTCCTCAACTGCGCAAGCATCAAACAATAACGTGCAAAGGGCAACCCGTCGACGACGTTCAGTAGACGATAAAAGCTCAATTGGAAAATTTTCATCGCTTCATGTTCCTCGTTCACCATTTTCAGTAACTGGCGAAAAATTGGACAGCCCTGCTCGATTTGCGTGCCCTATTTGCCTGGAATCAACGGTGAACCAACCAACGTCCACACGTTGCGGTCATGTTTACTGTCAAAGCTGCATTCGTGAAGCAGTGAAATTTAACCGCCTATGTCCTATGTGCAACGCTCCAGTTGCGCCAAGAGAGCTGCGCCGCATTTACTTGTAAAATTGCCTTTTTTTCGCCTTAATTCTTTCTACTTATATATGGAGTTTATTTTAAATATTGGTTAGAACCACCACTTTTACCACTTTTTTTTATATTCTGAGCATCTATACGCTTTCAGCCATACTTGTACGTATATTTCAAACAGTTTTCTTTCATTTTGATATATACATATATTCATTGTAATATTGGAAACTGCAGACGCAAATAAATAATTCATTGGAGGCCACAGTTGAAACACTTCAAGAGCCTGCAAAGAACGATGGAAATCATCTTTGTTCACTTATAAAAAAAGTTGTATAATGTTAAGATCCTGTATGATTATAAGTGCAAACTTTGTCTTGAAAAATAAATTAGTCTCAAGCTTGTCATTGCACCGTCTCAGAGTTAGGTAAAAAATTCAACTAACAGGACCTTTATGAAAGTTATCATGTTTTAAGCAAATAAATGCGGTGTTAAGAAGGAGAGATTTTTAATTGCATCAAAAAAAAAGGAAATACCCATCTTTCAAGCGGTAGTAACAAGAAATACTCTCAATAATTGCAATTTTTTGCCACCGCACCTCACTGATATATTCACTTACGAGAAGAGTTAGAAAAACAAAAATCATTAACCGCCTCATCTGCAAAGTTGTGAGTCAAACTCATAGCGTAAATTACAACATTGCGAACAGGCATTATTCATTTAATTACGAGATGGAAGCGGTTCGTTTCAAAGAATGACTTGAATTTGAGTCATTCCAAAAGGAAAACCTCCTCTTTTGGAATAGATGAAAAGTCGCAACTTATTCAATTTCTTCCATTTCGTTCCGCGTGGTTAGAAGAAAAATAAGGAGCTTATGAAACCTTAGTTTTTTTTATCTGCAAAACGTGGACATCATAAAATTGCCCACATGTACACACCACATTGATACACATGTACCAATACCATTCAGAGGTGCTTGGCACCCTTTTTTTTACACCTTAGAGTTGCATCAGAGAAAACGAATACATGTTACAACGGTAGCTTACGCTCGAAAAGCTTTCAGTGCAAACCTTCCGCGTTGTCATGACCAGCTCTGGAATGTGGATTGCTAAAGCAGGAGACGTGTTCCACAAATAGGAAAGGAGCCACTACGTCTTATGTGTACATATAACTGTTCAAAATAAAACAGTATGTGAAATGAGCATCCACCGTACTTAGACGATTAAAATAATGCGTGACTGTTGAAGCTCCACGTTGTTCTGCACGCCGAAACATAAGTGAAAGTTACACACAATGGCAAATAGGGTTGAGCCCCATACAATGCTAACTACCAAAAAGAACCGATCTCTTTATGAAAGAATGAATATGAAAATGATACGGAAAAAGCAATTGCATTTCTGATACTCCAGTCCATTGGAAGCGTTCTATTAAAGGCGACAGTTTCAACTAGTTGGCACATTTGGTTTAATCTCGTAGTCACAAAATCTTCGCATCACGAATTATCGCTTCCTCTGTTCCCGTTTCAACTGCCCGAGTGTCAGTAAATGCCATATATGCCGATGGACTAAACGGTGCAACGAAAAGCGACATCCACGCCTACGATTATGTTTACTGTTAAGGTTGCTGTCATCAGCTAGTGGGATATAACTACCAACTCCCTTTTTGTGCAAATATTTATTCATTTACAAATTTTTTTTTTTTTTTGTTTCCATAAGTCGCTGATAGCAGTGAATGTAAAAAAAGTAGTGATGTGTATATTGCGGTATGATGCTATTTCGAATAGTGGGTCAATTTGAAAGGCAATACTTTCCAAAAGTTTCCTTCCCTTTACAATTAATTAGCTTACATCTACTAGTTACCCACTTTCCAATAAACTTTGGAATAAAGCTATTCCTGCTGATCCAGAAAATCCGCTGAACCGGACTGCTAGTTGAAGGTAAGCTCCTTGGATTATATTTCTTTTCGTTGACCTGTCCATCTATTTCATTCTGTATAGTGGTCCCTTCAGGGAGGGCATACGCTATAAATTACGCTGCGTTCACTATCCCCAGCAGGTTGAAGTCAGCAGTGAATACGGCCATAATAGAACGATTGTCTCCAGTGTGCCAGTCGAGCTCGCCCAAAAGTAAAGCATATGGTTACGATTGGCAGAATATGGGCTTATTACGGATAATAAGCCATATGGGCTTATTATATCCATTAGATGTGGAAAATGAAACTCTTTAAGGCAGATTTCCGCTTCTTCGTGGAACATTGCAAACAGTTTTTCACCGACTACTTTATTCAAAAACCATATCAACATTTTATTTGGACTTCGATAACCCACCAATGCAAACGAACGATTTCGTGAACAGATTGTTCCTATCCGAATAAATACTCCCAGTGCATAAAGGACTCTATAACCGCAACTGTCACAACTCGGGTGAAATTAATATCATGACTCCAAGAACGAGCGTTTTCTGTACCTAATTCCCACAGATAGTTGTCTTTTATTCCCAAATCTGCTAACGTTTTTACTACGTTCAATATCAAGGACTCCCGGTAATCTCCAGCAGTGAACTTGGACTCACGATAACAAGTCAAAATTGCTAAAGACAACCAGGATTTTGCTGTTGAATCAAGAGAATTGCTAGTTTGTTTGATTTTATCTGCTATCTCCTCCTCCACAAATAGTGATTCCATATGAGATCCAAGCATCGGCGTTGGTCTACTTAATTGATTTCAATATACGATAAATAAATTCATCAAACTTGTTGTCAGTGATCGGGATGTAAGTCCGGCCCACACTCCTTTTGTATTATTTGTTTTGTTAAGAATAGCGAACGTTTCACTGCATTCGAAACTTGAGGTGTGATATTGTTTTCAAACTCCCGCCAATACAAGGGATCTTCTTTTAACTCCTCGAATAAGTGAACGTAAATTGGATCATAAATAGTTTTACGTCCCACTTGAACTGGTTCTTTCTGATCTTTCTTAAGGATTGGGCCCAACGGATAATCGGTTATTGCTAGCATTTCCCATTTTAATTCATTAGTCTACATGGTAAGTCTGATAATAAATTGGCATATTTTAAAAAGTTGAATGGCAAAATTATAGAGTAAACAAGTGACCAAAGTATGGACTTTTTGCATTGGCACACGACTACCAGATTCAAATTTTCGATTTGACTTTTCAACACGTCATATCTTGCTTTATTTAAGTACATCTACTATACGGTTTAAATGTTAGTTAAAATCTTGCCATGCGGGTCTGACAACAGCGATAGGGTTTACTTTTTTCCTAGATTTGGTATTTTTATTTTTTACAAATTAATACTTTTCTAGTGTATTGAAATTTCCAGATGCTAGAAAATCGCCAGACATTATATACGTAAGGATGCGCATGATCCGAGCAACTTCTCATCGTACACAAGTCAATCGGTGTATAAAGATTTTATTGATCTTTAACATATGGGATTATTACTCTATTCCACAAGAAAATAAACTGATTTAGATTAATTGGAACGACTAATGCACAAATCAGAAATAATATCTTTATGTGTTTTTTAATTATATTCACATTATAACGCGATTTCTGTTTAGTTCCATTTATGGTTCCTAATTCCCCCAATCAAATTTCCAAACTTAAATGATTACCTTTATACCGTTGCTTTTCTATTTGTAGTGGATTAGTGCTTAATAGTAGGCCCCATCGCAATATGCAATTACTCTGAAAAGTAGAAATATCATGAAAAGTAAGTGCAAACATTGCAATTATGCGAATCGGACAATAAAATATGCGATATTAAAATTCCTGTTATATACCACAGCCAAAAATATAGTAAAGATTGACAAGTCAAGAAAGTCGAAACTACACAGACTAACCTTCTCTAACTTGTGAATATTTTTCGCAAATTAACTTAATTTTCTCTCTCTCTCTAAAAAAATTTTAACATTAGTTTTTGATTTCCAAGTAAATACATAAAATGTTTATAAGCCATGTTCTCTAAATGCATTAAACTTGGCAGATTTTCTACTTGTTTATTTTGATCATTAGTCGTTTCATCTCTTACTTGACCTACATCCAAATTTCCGGATTCAATTGTTCAATTCGGCCAATCGTAACTTTTAATAAAGGTTTTCGAAGGCGATATTATTCGGGAATTGAATTTGCTTTACATTTTGCTATTGAATTTTGAAGTGAACTTATCGTCATGTCAAGAGTCGCGGCGTGGTTGCTTAGCAATGAATTCTCATTGCTCAATTTCTGTAATTTGCACACTAGATCGCTAGATTCTTTAATTTGCATAGATCGCGACTTGAAGAGTAGAAAAATGTACAGTGAAACGAAGCAAACGAAATAAGGTGTACAATAGAAACGCTAATAACCAAAAAGATGCTGGAATAATCCCTAAATATCGTGTCGGGCTTCTTTTGCTCGATATGTTTCCCTTGCTTACATGCTGACTTTCACGGCTCAGTTGTTAATTCACCGAAAATTGAAAACCAATCGTTTACTCGAATGCAGCCCTAGAATAAGTGAAAAATGATTGCGTGAAAAGACAAAAAAAAAAAATATATATACCGAGGGATGGATTTATATATACTCAAGCATGAAAATATTTCATTAATATTTCATAATGATACGGGAATAAATGTTGAGTTTATTTATACAAATTTAAGCGATTCCTTCGAAATTCTTTTAATTATTTGTTTTAGCCTCCAAGGAGAGAAAACTTTCAATGTTGAAGCAGTTGCCTCGCCAGTGACAGTAATTAAAAAAACACAAATCAGTGCGTTTTCAAGTAAGAAAATAAGAAAACACTTTAATTTATCAAAATAAATTTCCTTTGAAATTCTCGCGTTGTTTTCTTTTATTCTTTCGTCCCCCAAACACGAAACATGTGTGTACTTGCCGTCTCTTCTGATTAACATTTTACGCGTGTTTTCAAGATATGCGTTTTTGATCTCTTGCGCTTTTAATTGTCTATACGACAGTAAAAATAAAAATACAGCTATAGCGACAACCGTAAACAACAACATCTGTTTGGCAATTTAAGTTCATTTTTAAACGTTTATGTTCTTTTTCTTTCATATTAACAAAAACAGAACATAGTGCATGTACGTTTAAATACAAAATATATATATAT